GATATATGGAACCTAACACTCTTATGGTAAAATTGACACAATATGAGCATTACCGTTACCATCATATTGAAAACATTGACTGCAAACCATGACTGAAGAAACTTACTTTCCACACCAAAAATCCCCGTGAATTAGCTCCCTGGTCCCCTCTCCACCCCCATTTATCCATGCCAGCATTTCCTTCTCCACATTTTCAAACACATCTCTACTCCCTCCCAGAATTTTTGGGAAGCTATCAATCATTGTGACAAGATTCGTGTAATTGATTGCCAGCTTTAAAGTCCTCATAGCATGGTTCCCTTCCATGACTTCTCGCACTTCACTCTGTGCTGGAGAGTTGGCCCAGCTATGGAAGTTCTTAAGCCAGTTTCCAAGCGAGTGGCCGATAACAGAGGCGGTTGAGGGAGTTATAGCAGTGTGGTATTTGAGAACGTAGGACTTCAGGTTGGTGCAATCTGGAGAGGGGTGATGGGTGTGGACCTGCGTATTGGTGCCAGGGTCATAATGGAGGAGTTTGGGGGTAGAAATTGTGATGTTATTGTAAAAAACAGACTGAGTCGGGAAAGCTGTGAGGTATTTGAGAATTTGAGATTCATAGAACTGTCATCAAATTAGGAGTCTATGGATTTTATAGTCGAAGTGAAAGATAAAAAACAATTGTTGCTTGTTTGACGTGAATATAGAATAGGAGATGAAAACAACTGACCGTTCGGGTAGTAGTTAGTTTGAAATTTTTGTTGGAAAATAAATGAGGCTCAGTGTGCTTGATTATCACAACCGTGGTACCATCAGGAAGAGTTTCCATTAAAGTTCCATGGTATAGATAGTTTGAACTACCGCCGGAAAGTGGTATGAGGCTTTTGCAGGCATACGGTGTCGCTGCCAGTGATTCTTGTACCAGTTTGGTAACGGCATCCTGAAATTCGGCCATGCTTGTCGTTTGAATGGGATATTTTGCCTTTTTATTTCGTCCTTATGGTGATTGTATAAATTTTTGGAAAAGAAATTATCACATATTTTGATAGTCCAGTCTAGTTGGAGGTGAGATCATAACAATTGATCACATGCGACTTTATGAGTCACACCGAGAGAGTTTGAATAGGTACAACTATCTGGTATTAACTAAACACCTGAATCAATTACCACGGTGATGATGTGCAACTTCGAGAGATTCTCATCGCAACCACCTGAACTCGAGCAAATAAGCATGTAACTGTACGATATGCAAAGCCGTCCTTGAATATAATAATAATTTAGTAATGTTCAATAGTAAAGCACTTGCCCCACGAATGACCCACATTGTCAGATCAATACTTCTGAAGATTCAATTGAAATATAATATCTACCAGTACTCGTTTATCCCAACGGATATACACTGATTAGAATTCAGCTATGCGTTGAACTGAAGCACAAGTTTGTGTTAATCTCGCAGATGACAGCACGTGAGCATTCCAAATGGGACGGAAAAGATCAATCACGAAAGTGACAAATTTGTAGATTTGAGAAACTATAGATAGCTCATTATATAACACATATGAAAATACTGGAGGGCTAGTACTCGCTAATTGTTTTTCCACTTTAAAGGGGACGATGGAAGAAGGTTCCCGACAGTCCCGTTAAAGCCGAAAAAGAAACGTCACATCGACAAAAGCAACATCAGTAATTTTGCAAAGATCGCAGATAATACCGTTTTATCTCTTTTCTTATTTGAGTATCCGATAAAAATTTGATCTATATCCTGCGCACATGCCTCTGTATTCAAGGATACGCAACGCGACGCACAATCACTCAAGAGTCAACGAGCTGGCCTCGAGTTGTCCTTTTCGAAAGGACACCCAGCTTGCTCTACAGGAGGAGCCGCCTCAAAATTTACTGGGAAAAAGTCACGAGCGCTGCGAGTGTGAGCTTTTAGTGAGCTTTAAACATTCTCAAAATAATTAATCATTGAAGTAAATAACTCTTGCAGACACAGAGAAGAAGCCAAGAAACCTTCAATATCACCGAAGAAGTCTACTCGAAGACAAATTTATCTCATTACTTTCTCCTTGGCTGTCATTTTTTTCAGATGTTGTTAGCGATACAGTCTAGACTTTCCTTCAATGTACTCACTTTCCGTTGGACTTTCTGACCTTTGATTAGGCATTGACACGGAAGCCTCATTTTGGGCGTTTACTATCACACGCATGTTTAGATAATTGTGATTTTCTTTTTTGAGATCATTCGGCAACTATAAGAATAACCACAGCCTCTGGCGTGTTCCCTCCCGCTGATGATGTATTCCCACACCAATGAATCAGTCCCTCATTGATTAAGCAGTCTCTCCCAAACCAAAACTTAAAAATAGTATGTAGTTGTTAAATTTCACCAACCCGCAACAAAACAAGGTTCACTCTTCCGGCAAAACCTCCTCTGGACGGGAATAGCCTAGCACAGATCGAATCCATGGGGAGTTTCCCCATTCATCCCCTATGCGAGAAAATCGCTTGACCTCACCAACTTCTAGGTCCTTCTCCTGCACCAATACCAAAGGTAGGCCATGCAGCTCTAGATACGTCTGGCACCAATAAACATTCCAGAACCTCTTGAAGTTGTCGGTCCGGCGTTGAGCGTCTTCATTCAGTGCATAGGCCTTCATGGATAAGGATAGATCACTGCATACTTTGGTGCCAATGGTCCTATAGCCCGCAAGGTATCCAGACATACCGATAGGTAGTTCATCTGTTTCTCTAGTACAATTTGCAGATAGCAGATGCGTCAAGTTTGGCATTTTCTTGACGACTATGTTGCAGAGATATGGGCATGGTCTCGGATGAGGGCCAAAAATTGATTTGACCAATCCGGGTATCATAGCAATTGCGTCAAGATTTTCAAGGTTTTGAGTGCTATTGATGAAGCTTTGAAACCTTTCAGCGGGTAACTTAGTAGGTTGGGTTCTGTCGAAGATGTTGGTCAACAATAGAGGTATATCAAACCCGAATCTAAAGTAAATACGACCGTTTTCGTTCGTGGTACCAAAGGATAATGAATAGAATCTCAATGCTTCAATTCTAGAGATACTGTAAACGTGTAAGGCTATTGGAACTGAACTGGTACTCTGACAAACCTGGGTAGTATCGTCATATGATATGGGGATAACTCTTGGATCAGGAAGTGTGTGTATCCAGATCTTTCGCTGAATCTCAAGGGGAAATCTCGAGTATTGAGGAAAGCCCTGTTGTTCGAATTTATAATTGACAAGCATGTCCTTGAGTTGATTTTCAGCCGAAGAAAAGCTTGATAGTCTACTATCCGAGGAAGTGGTAAAGGTGAGGTTAAAGGTGGCAGCAAAGGCTCTTGAAGTTATTCTTGGGTTGCGCGATGTCTGTAATGGAGGTTCCGGGGCCATAGTGAGTATCTGTGGGAGTTCTATCCAAAACTTAGTTAGCTATGCATCAAAAGCAGTTGCAGAGGGGCGTTTAAGTACCTTTGTAAGAGTACTTTTCTCTAACTTGCTGTAGCAAAATGCTTTCAATAGATATGGTGACAAGTGAACGAGAAGTACCTGTTAGGGTTAGAATCAAATAGAAAGGTCAAGAAAAAACTACTTGCTGTTCCAGGAGTATCTTTCTTTGACCTGCTGTAGTAGCAATTGTTCGATAGGATCCATGTTCATGATCTTCCACAGTACCTGGTGTACTGTCTGAGTTGTTACTGGCAGTCTCAAAGTAAAACCAAGTACTGAACTGCACCCTTACTAAGAATAAAGTAATTTTAAGTTGTTGATGACAATGGAAAAGTTCTGGTAGCTACTCATTTTCAAGATTCCAGACCCACTAGAAGCTGAACGGAGAAGAATTGATATACTCAGAAAATTCGGAACTCTCATGGTCACAACCACCTACCGCGCAAGTGAATATTGCAGTTCGTATGATTCAATTTTTGGTATATGCATGTTAAGTGAAACTGTAGCACATATTTCCTCGTAGTAGGAGATCTTTGTTCTGAAATAACTGTAGGGGAGTCTATCGATCAAATTGTAGCTTCTACCTAGCCCGTCCCTAGCTGAGTGATTTTGTGCTGCTCGGTGTCTACTGCGAAGAGGAAGGATGGAAAGATCTACATTTGGTTGATGCTACAGACGTTTCGGGAGAAAGGGTATTGGATCTCGCAGGAGAAGACAGCAATATAGTGGAATAATCTAACAATAGTTCACTAGGTATAGATCGGAGGATATAAACTTCGGAATCTTCTCGACTTCTCATCCAAGGTGAATAGGAGTAAAGAACAGAAAGACAAAAATGAGTATTTATCAATTGAAGGAGACCATTTAGCTCTTTAATGCACCAAAAGTGACCAGCTGGTCGGTAAATCGCCTTACCTTAATTTTTGTCTATCAATATCAGTCCACAGTCATTTTGGTTTTAACCAGGTAGGCTCCCGTATATGGAATATGGAAGGTTTCAATTGAATGTCAAAGGCCTTAGGGAGAAGTTATTCTTCCAACTCCTTGCTGATGGAATTTGTTTCCCTTTGATAGCCCGTGCTTGACAGCCTCTTCTCATTTCTCGATGGATAGATGTCTTCGTCTCATTCCGATTTCATTCCAGCTTCGAGTTCTGATGGCAATGAACAGAAGCTCCTTATAGCTGCACAAGCGCATACTGCACAATGCTTTAGTCCATGGCATTTCTACTGGTGAATAGGAAACCATAAAGCTTTCATGGAATTTACACACTTGTCACGTTCTGTTTCTCTCCTCAAGCCAAACTAGATTGGCAAGACGAACATTTGGGGTGTGGTGGAAATCAATTTTTCTCTATCTAGGTTTACGGGTTGGAAAAGACCTCAACAGGAAGGCGCAATATAGGTGTGATTGTACCTCAGCTTTCGTTCTTATCCTCTGAAGAGATAATCGATTGTTGTTCATAAAATGACTCAACATTTCTCCATCATCAGGTACAACTTCGTACCTTCAATCACGTCAATTTTCTTTTGTCTCACAAAGATATCTCTCCTTCACCATGGGATTCCAGACATACAGCGATAACGCACCCATGCAATTACCGATGCTAAAGCTGAAGCATTATTCCACGTTCTCCTGGAAGGAAGGAACTATTGAGGAGAGGAGATTTACCAAGGAAGAGGTGTTATCACTACAAGTCATTGAAGCGGTGGCGAAGAAACCTGCCCGGCTACTTGGAATAGACTAGTTCTAACTAACTTCTGCTTTTATGTGCGAGCACTAACTAGATGTCAGATTTGGGGACACCGAGTACCATGTTATAGAGCGCTGGTTTGACTTTAAGTATATCTTTTGCGGACAAGATAGCCGATGCCCATATATACCGACGAACTGAAGAAAACGCCGACCGAAGCATATTTCTCAGAGACGCAGCTGTGGATGAGTCTGAAGCTGGGATGAGGAGTAAAAGCAAATTGGCATGCGGTTGGTGTGAGCTGGATCCGTCGGTTTCCATAATGAACAGCGAAAGATCATGGGCCAATCTTTCTGCATTGTTGAAACATCAACATTCTGGGTTCCACGCTCCCAAACCGAGAAACGTATATGACACTATTCATAGTCACGTAGCCGAGCAACACTTAACAATTGAGAAGACTGGCGGCCATCATGAAACTTCAGACACGGTATCACAACGGCCTGTCGAATCCAAGAACACAGATGTGTCCAGTGACGGAGGATCAGAAGACGGAACAGACAAGAGAACCCTCAAGTCACCAAAACGAAGCAGAAACGACGACACGTGGTGCACATGTTTTAGAGACCCAGGATACTCGAACGAGCTTGAACGACCTACTTTCAGCTTCTCAGAAGTAATCACTGATAGATATATGGAGAAAAATCAAAAGCCACGAGGAAACAAGGAAGAATGCACTAGGGCTGTACCGCCAAGTTTTGCATCATCAGAATGGCTTGAGGAAGTTCCATCAGATCACAACTTCTTATCATCAACTGGGCAGGGCATCAAAATCCCTTACCCTATTCACGAGCTTAATGAGACTTCAATTGAGGATTCTGCACCTAGATCAACGACTGGCAAATTTTTTGAGCCTCAGCCAAACCTGATAAACTTCGAAGACACGACGTCTGAAACTCGATCGACAGAAGACTGGCAAGATCCTTGGATGCTCTTCAGAGAAGCTGGCGGTGCGCTATTGGATAGTCTGTAGGAGAAGTCACGATATCGCGGTTACCTTTTGCTTCAATGGTATCCTAGATAGAGATGATGTAATTTCTCAGTATTGAAGACGGCTATGTATGATCTCACATCCATATCACTCTGCATAGATGATGCTTCACATGGTAACATAAATCAGCGACAAGTTACAATATTATTCGTGTGTTCCTAACCAGGCATTACAAATCTTTCAGTGGAGCTTCGCCCTTACCATCGCCATACTTCCTGACAGGTTCCTTTCCAGCAGTACTATCCTCTTTGAAAACTGCAACCTCATCACTGCTCATGTGTTTTGCAACTTGATCTGCCTGCCACTTCTTGAATGAAAAGCCTACACCCTCATGGCTGTAGTCTTTATCATTAGCTTGATCCTTGTGATACTTGACTCGTATGAAATCGCTGTGGACAGTTTCAGGATCAAGAGACAAAGTCACAAGTGCGTTTATTGTGGCAGTTTTTGGAATAATTTTAAAGGTCCATGACTATCCCATTGTTAGAAGTTATTTAGACGTAAATCAAGCTGTTTAGCAATGAATCTTGAATACCTGTTCATTCTTGAATTGGATCACTTCATCGTCGCTTCTTACAACCTGATACCCCTCGTTCTTACTATCCTTGAACAACTTTGGTAGCGCAAACCACTGTCCAGCCATCTTGTACCGATCATTGGCATACACAAACTGGTCATCATATACGCAATCGGGCGTGTATCGTTTGACACGCTCAATGGTCGGTTCGCAGCTATACAGAGCAATTATATCGTCAATGAGTGCTTGGCGAGCGGGAGAAAGAGGGATAGATTTGGAAGGGTCGGGGTGCCAGTCCTCAGTCGAAGAAATTTGGCGAACTTCAAAGTTCTCTCCAGGGGCTGTTGCGGTTGCCATGACTGTATGTGTGGGTATGAGTGATATTTGATTTCTGATTGCTGTTCGGATGAGTATTCAAGAAGTGAGCACTGAATATGGATAGTTGTTTAAGGAAGGAGAAGAAATATTGAAAGCAGTGTTCTTATAGATATTCTGGACAACAGCTAAGTACACAAAGTGCATGTAACGCCACCACTAGCTATGCGTACTTGTATATAATGATGTCAACGTGAAGGAGTCGAACAAATGACATATTGACAATTCTCTACCCGTGTCTTATACAAACATAACGTTTCAATCATCAAGTTGATCATTTGTGCTAGCCCGCCTCTTCAAAGCTATTCAAATTAGGTACTCGTGGAACCAGCGGAATGCTTCAATTCCAGAAGCTCGAAGTGTTGACGTAGTCCATTACTTGGGATGTGGGGTAAGCTCGGGGAAGTGGCGTTCGCTTAGACTTGCAGGTCTGAAAGTCTATGACAAACCCAACATTTGATAAATCTGAATATAACGGACTGATAGATTCGATTCATAAGATCCTGTAAAGAATTATTCAACATAGCTTTGTTTCATGCGAATAGATTTAAATCTGGAAACCCGATCATTAACGGCATCTACGCAAATATAAGCGTCATATAATTGTGAAATTCGAATTCGAACTCGAACTCGCATCTAAAAGAGCTGCGATGCTCGATCTCTCATTTTCACGCTCCCCCATATCTTTTTCTCATCATGGCACTTCCAAACTTTCATAAGTTCATACTTTCTTCCAAATGGAGTGGTGTTCAATAATATATATGTAACCAGTGATCAATTTGGTCCTCTCGCACAGGTACTGTATGTGAAAGTCTCATTTAAACCTTTTCAGAGTAAACTCAGACCAGACTTTCCTCTCTTTGCCTTTTTTTAACATCATTCTCTTCTTAAATTCTATTCATCTCAGTCCTGTTCTATTGTAATCCAAAGTCGTGGTTGGATTCTGCCTCGAAGGAGCTGAGCCGTTCGTAGCACCATCTGATCCCCTCTTTTATTCTCCCACTTGCAATCGGCGCACAAGACACAAGCGCCAGCGTTATGTCTCAAGGGTTGAGACGGGTGAGAGATGATGAAGATTATCGGTAAAGATGCAGCAACTTGAACAGCCCGCTTTGCGATCTGGGGAGAGCATGGAGTAGTAAATAGTGTATTTTTGCGACAGTTGAAAAGATAGGAGAGCATAATGGGACTGGCAAGTGATGTAAAGGTACAATCTTTCGTGACTTTGGTTGTGGGAAGTCCTCAAGGGTCCTGTTGGATGCAGCTTGTGAGCGGAAATGAACTGTCTCCATGGCGAGGAGTTCGTGACATGCCTCTAGCCATTTAGCTTGATCAACGACCCTTCGGGAAATTTGTTAGTACGTATTTAGATTCAGAATGTGCAATCAATAGAGAGTGCCTTTACCGACATGGCAGTTGAACAAGGGGGGGATTTGGTAAGTGGAATTGCAAAATGAACTTCTTTAATTGTTCAAGTAGATCTTGATTACTAATAATCTGTGAATGAAGATTGAGGGAAGCTGATGTTTTCTGCCATTCAAATCATGATTCCATTATAAAATACCATAACTCTGTTTCGAAGCCACGCCACGCACATCCTATCCATCAAACCCAGTTGGCCCAACTCCCGAAGGGGAAGACGAGAGAAATATCACAACCTTCACGCTGACCATCATCCCCGGAAAAGAAATGAAAATTTACTTGCCAATTGTACGACTATGGTTCATAATTTGAACACTTCAATACCTTCAATACTCAACTTCTCCCTCTCCCGCTACAGCTACATTCAAGCAGATGGCAGTATTATCTGTGCGACCTTGTGAATAAATACCGAACCCAACTGCATGTTAGATACACTAAACAGAGTACGTACGTCGCTTTATTTATTGGTCCTGATAAATAAACACAGAATTGCGAGCCCTTAATCCGAACTTGCAGATTCAACGTTCGTGTTAGGCAAGCGATCTTTTCCCGCCCCTAGACGCATGTATGTTGTCAACAGATGGGCGATGTGCCATTCTGACCACTGCATTTAATTGGCTCAACAACACTCAAGCAGTTCAAAGTGGCTGGAGCGGAACGATCACATATGTAAATAAATATCTAACGTTGGAAAAGAGTAATCAACTATGAATGCATCCCATGCAGGCCGTGTAGATACACCGTGTTACTTGATGCGTATTATGTATATTGTTCACTAGAACAGACGGGATACCATCATTCTGCTTTGTGTCCATATCCGACTGTGTTGACTGATGTAGTTCCGTACACAGTCATGGTAAGAATTGATGCGTCACCGCGGGAATTTACTTCCGTGGAGAAAGTTGAGGATCTGTAGGTGGGTATTGGGTGATCTTTGATGGATGTCTGCTTCCTTGTAACGTTTTATTCCGATTGGTGTCGAGACTATTCAAAAGCCTTTGTCTGACGGGGAAGGACAACTGTTGATGAATTGCAGTTTGTTGCCCGTCAATGTTTTTGCATAATTGTCGTCTTTCAAGAAGGACGACATGGCCTAAATTTTGATTGGCTTTTGCAAGCACCGCCATGAAGCAGCCCTACGATATGATTAGATTCTTTAGCATCGCTTCTAGAATTTCTGATGGAAGTACTCGATTGACGCTAGAACTAAGTAGAATTTTAACTTGGCAAGAGTCGAGTACAGAGTTCCAGAATTTTCAAACTATTTTATTTCAAGTCCGAATACGATATGATTGGAAACCCCGGATGTGGATAGCCTTTACTTTAGTTTATGACTACCAGGATACCAAGGGATCTTTGAAACTTTGCGAAGATTCCCGAGAATTGATTTGATTCCAGAGTAGAACTCGGGATTTGAAAATGAAAGTCTCTCCGGTATGAAAGACACGATAAGATATTGAGAAGATTTGCTTTTGATTACTCAAGCTATATATGTGTGTATATATATGTGTGTATATATGTGTGTGTGTATATATCTATATCTATATCTATATCTATATCTATATCTATATCTATATCTATATCTATATCTATATCTATATATACATCTATCTATCTATCGACTAGACAGATGTACTCGTACAAAGGTATGTGCTAAGTAGATAAGTACACATATCCAACTTCGAACCATCTCGAACAACCTCGAGGAGCACAAAGAGAATGTATCAGAGTCATGCTATATACCTATTTTACCCATTTATAAAACAATCATTGTTAGCTCCAAGGGACAATCTTCAAATTACTCAAATAGGTATCAAATACTTTAAATCTTCATTGATTCCATTTAATTGACCAATCATCAATTGCTTATTCCAAATAATCATCCATCGGGGAAAGATTTAATCCATTTCCCGTTACATCGATAATTATAGTTGTGACAGTATTAATTTAGTCAGGGTTCTTTCTTACTGTACTCTACTCTTTCCACCCCTCGGTAAGTTTTTATACAAAGTCCAGTCCTCTGCCGTACATAATAATCTATCATCCCGCCGCTCTGTTCTCTTTTTACTCTTCCAAATAAATTCACTCTTCCCTCAATATTCTTTTCGCTCGTCGCATTTCCTGGTTCAAAGGAAATTTTACGAGGGTCATTGCTCCCAATTCAATTCTTCGAATCCATTGTCGATCCACTCATCGAACAAGCAATTAATTATGGAAGCCGTTCTCAAAGGTCGGGCAATGTGCCCATTTCTTCAAAAGACCTCGCCCGCAACCCTCCGATCCCTTTCGACCTCCGCTCGTCCCCATGCCTCCCCAGGTGGGGGCAGTATGTCCAATCTCCAGACCATTGCTGGTAGATGTCCAGTCATGGGCAAAGCTCTCGCCGTCCAAACCGCAAAGGCCGGAAAGGTTGGATTTGGTGGCGTGACTGCTATGAAGGCCATTCGAGCCTTTTCCGGAAAAGTTAGCACAGGAAAGGCAAAACTTCACACTAGCAGATCCCATGAAGCGAGGGCTGTCGAGGATACTGTGTTTGGTCGTGAAAATGGTATGTATTCTCTTTTCCGAGCCTCCCCCAATTGTTCGTGTCGAGTCATCTTCTAACGTAAGATGAATAGTACCATTTCAACACATCAAGCAAACGCGCCCACCAACTCAAGCTACTCGC